GTTTCATTTCTACAAAACAAAATCACCATTTACTCATTTAGTATCCTTTGTTTGTCAATAAGATTATTTCCAGTTGAAAATGTAAATGAATTCCAGTGTTCTATTTCATCTATATGTGAAATCAAGACTTTGTGGACCCATTTGTCATATCTATGACCATTTGTACATTGATTCAACATTAGTTATGAAACAGGAGACCGTTTCATTCCATGTAACAGCAACAAACTTCAACTTCGCTTGAGGCTTGAGATCACGTGATGAACTGGGCGAAGGACGCCCTTGTGAAACAGAGGCCCTATAAAAAGATGACGTAGTTCTACATGTAATACTTAATATCTTATTTCAAACCGTCTGTTGTAAGATTTCACTCTATTGTTAGCAGTGTAATAACATACCTAACGTGCGCAGTTCTAATTAATACCACGAGAACTGACTACCTTTACTAATTGGTTTACCGCTAAAAAAATTATAACAAATCATTTTTTTTTCCAATTTTTTGTACAAAAAGAAAGAAAGAAATGTAATTAAAATGGATTAGAAATACGAGTTAACGATGAACATTCAAGGAAACGTTGATTACTGAAATATCTTTACATCGTGATCTGATTGTATGATTCTACATTGCTGAGTTCAGCTTGGTGAAAGCTGCAGGTTTTGATATTAATTCGCTGCAACTACCATGTCACAAGGGAGTTTGAAACTTTGACTGGAGATAAGCTCTAGTTAAGGAATTCAAATATAGCAGAAAAATCAAAATCGGACAGTTTGCAATTTTATTTCAAATTACGCTCTACACAGACGTCACATAACAAGTGTTGTTGGTATATAGAGGATACCCGCGTGGCTATCATTTTTGAATCTTTCACGAGTATGGAGGTACTTAAATATTAGAGACACCTGTGAAATATGTTTGTTATTACTGAAGATATAGTTAAATATTCTATTTATTACAAAGCTGACTAGGCTTTTTGCGCACAATACTCACTCATTATAACTTCGCAGTACGCGACAAAAAATAGTCCGTTATTTAAAAAATCGTTAAAAATATATTAACACATTAACAAATTTCAATGAAAATTTATTTGTATATTCACGTCAAAAATAGTATTTATTCATGTCACTAACAGACAAAATTTGCCGTAAAACATTCAGAGAGTTTAACTTGTGATAAGTAACTGGGTGACTGAAAATATGGCGGGAACCTACAGCTGTAGCTGTTGATGATAAGAATCCTCTTGAAATGTCTAACGTGGTTAGCTCCACATTCAAGACGCTCAGTTGGGGATTGGGTTCCATGTCTGATAATGTAATTTGTGTTACATTGTTTGCTGACTTTCATGGAAATGAAAGTTTACCATGAAATTGAATGTCGGGGGCCTTTATTATTTGTCAGTTATATCAAATGTTGTGTGTTCTCTCTTCTCATTTTCTGAAAATGGGGACATTTCTCGAGTTGAAGGTGTAACAAAACCGTCCTAACTAAATTCTTTTTTGTAGTCTAAGAATAGCTACATTTTCACTGATGACGTGTATACAACAAGTACTGTTTTATCATGATCATACTAACCTCACTGATGACGTGTATACAACAAGTACCGCCTAACCATGATCATACTACCCCCACTGATGACGTGTATACAACAAGTACCGCCTTACCATGATCATACTACCCCCACTGATGACGTGTATACAACAAGTACTGTCTTACCATGATCATACTAACATCACTGATGACGTGTTTACAACAAGTTCCACCTTACCATGGTCATACTACCCCCACTGATGACGTGTATACAACAAGTAGCGCCTTACCATGATCATACTACCCCCACTGATGACGTGTATACAACAAGTACTGTCTTACCATGATCATACTAACCTCACTGATGACGTGTATACAACAAGTACCGCCTTACCATGATCATACTACCCCCACTGATGACGTGTATACAACATATACCGCCTTACCATGATCATACTACCCCCACTGATGACGTGTATACAACAAGTACTGTCTTACCATGATCATACTACCCCCACTGAAGACGTGTATACAACAAGTTCCACCTTACCATGATCATACTACCCCCACTGATGATGTGTATACAACAAGTACTGTCTTACCATAATCATACTACCCCCACTGATGACGTGTATACAACAAGTACTGTCTTACCATGATCATACTACCCCCACTGATGACGTGTATACAACAAGTACCGCCTTACCATGATCAAACTACCCTCACTGATGACGTGTATACAACAAGTACTGTCTTACCATGATCATAATAACCTCACTGATGATGTGTATACAACAAGTACTGTCTTACCATGATCATACTACCCCCACTGATGACGTGTAATTGACCTACTTAGCATGGAACAATGATTCATATATAACTACAGCACACTACTGGATTGTATCGTTTTTCGCGAGCAAACTCTACGGAACTGTTTTACAGGAGTTAATTCTGTTACAGGAACATCGTAAAATAAAAGTTAACGAATATTTGTCGGTTTATAGTACATTTTAAGATAGTGTATGTGATAATCGTAAAACAATTGTTTGAAAAAAATATTTATAAAGACAAAAAAAATCATATTTAATTTATTGTTTCGATATCATCAATGATGAAATGTTGGCAATGGTTAAAGTATTACGAGTTATTATCATTAAACACATCATTCACATTTCTTGAAAATTTTAATTCGAAAATAAGTCATTTGTCTAACTTTAGTTTGTGTAAAATATCATTTGTTTATTTTCAGAACTGAACATCGTATCAAGATAATGTGACCTTTTGATAAGAAATTGGCCCAAGTTTTAATTACTGTAAAAACATTACTTTTCGTGGAAGCTTTATTTTCGTTCACTGTGTTGGCAATCGTAATCATTTCAGTTAGTATCAGTAGATATATTGAACTATATTTTCACGAAATCAATTATCCACGAAATAGTGATGAAAGGAAAAACCAGGAAATTAGAACCCCACCAAAATATCTGATCTTAACGATCTGTTTGTATCAAAATCTTTTCGTTGTCAGCTCTAGATATTGGTACATTCTCAAAGGTTTGTATTGATAAGCACCGATCAAAATTGGTTCCTATACAACATTGGTATTGTGTGACACGTTTGACATATCACTTTTTTAGAAGTTTTGTTTCTTCTGCAAAAAAGGAATTCCTTTAGTGTTAAATCAACATTGATTTGACGATGTGAATTTTGACACAAAGCTAGATAATTTCTGTCTTTTCTGGGCCAATAAAACATATGACAATTAGTTGTTCTGTAGTCAAATTTTACCGTAAGTTGAAGGAAGATCTATTTAGATATTTCTTAATGGTCAAACGAAGCAATGAAAAAACAAACAAGCAAACCAACAAACACACCGGCAGCATCTAAAACAATGAGGGACTCAGATTTTTTGACGATGCGGTGTTCATTTCCAGTTTCTCCTACACCGATTTTTGTCACGAAAATAAAACGGATCTGTATCAGTTCTGATGATAAACAGTTGCGGTCTGCAATATTTCAAAAACGGTTTCCATGTTTAAGCATTTATTTGGACATAAAACCTGACTGTTACAACTCCACAAAATACTAAAACATTGGATTATTTTCAAAACGATACATAAAATTATGTAACAGTTACTTTGGCGCCTACAGCTTTTATTTAATATCGAGAAAAATTGATAACATCGCAAAACAACAATATGACTCCACTCAACAGTCCGTAACCAATGCTAGTTAAATGTTCGTCAATGAGAAGATAATTTGTAACGTTGTATTTTCCGATCTTGTTCCCCGTTCAAAGTGTCCTTTAAAAATCCATAAAATACTCATCACTATCGTTAAGCATCCGAAAATTAACGACAAACTATGAAACGTTATTACACTTCTAATATTTGTAGCTATTTCGTCGATATTCAATAACTTTTTTTAAAAAGAGGTAGTTATACATAACTTAACTTGATAAATCAAAAAAATGAAAAGAATTCCCACCATGGTCCTTACTTTCAATGACGCTGAATTGAAGTCTCCTTCTAAATTCTCCCTCGTTTATACCATGTCACTTAACCTCGACTGAATTCGACCTCATTAACTGCCCCCCCCCTCCTCACTATTCATCTGGTAAATATCACTACTATAAAATCTAGTTGTGATTAAGTCCTTTTGTCTTTACCCTGTTTATGGTTTCGTGGACATATAACTTCATGGCTTAGGCGTAACCACGAATTGAACTAAGATAAAAACTGAATGACTATCAATACGTTCTTAAGTTCGTTAAACTTGTGAGCTTCATTCATGTTTTTCGCTCGTTGATATGCTCTTGATCAACCTATCGTTTTCGCGTTAAAATAACAACAAAATATAGCGTTCTCCAGTAAACTTTAAAGTCTCATCTGACGGTTTTTCGCCCTCTTCATCGAAAACTGTAACTTGAAGTGATTTAAACTCACAAGAAAATTCCCTTTTCTTCAGTCAACGTAATATTAGTAGTTGAACCTAACCCTAACACAGCTCCGTAATGTTAGTAGTTGAACCTTACCCTCACACAGTCCCACATTTACTCGCTAACATTTAGTTCATGTACTCGTCATTTGCTTGCAAATGTCTCCTTATTGAGTTTACGGTGAGTTATCTACGTCCTGTAGACTGTCACCTCGATTCTACGAGGTGCCACTTTTTTGTGATCTCTAATCTGAACTCTGTTGCAATGTCACAATTTTCAGCCCTTTAATTTTGCCACTAAATGTCGCTGGCTGAAAACCCTTGTGCTTCCCTCTGACTTGAGTTTCTGTTTACCCGCTATAAAATGACCACCACACCTGAAGGTACCTGAGTTTATAATCGCAATTGGTAATCATAGACCTTAACACTCAAATCAAGTCACGTGACTAATACTGTCAGCTTGTCTCTCATAGATGACAGCATGTGAAAGCGAGGCCGCTCTATCTATGCCAGCTGTACCTTAAGTTAAAGCGCTTTGATGAACATGATTTTGGAAATCCGACATGACAAAAGAAATGTCAAGAACAACATGCAGATCAAAGCCTTGACAGTGAAAGACTGACAAACGATAATTAGATAGCCACGCCGACCTGTCACGTGGCTGTAGAACAGTCGGGCAGCAAGACGTACAACCGGATGTAAGGTGTAGAGGATTTATTTGGCTAGCAAAGTAAGTCGTGTGTCAGTATAGACACACAGAACAATGACCTCTGGAGAAGTTTCTTTATCTTTTGATATTATATATTAGATACTTCCTGCAAAATGAATCGCGTTTTAATTGAATTAAAAATTGATCAATATAATTATATATAATTTGAACTAAAGTATTTGTGGCTTTTAGAACTTCCATTCGAGATAAATATACAAATGTAGGTTGGAATTTATTTTCTTCAACAAAATTGTTGAAAACAAAATTGGAAAGTAAACAAGAATTCTTCATAACTGTACAATTATTTGTTCTTAAATCGATGCAGATACAACAACATAATAAAAATTGGTTTAAGTAAAGTTTACTTAAAACAAACTTTAATGTACATGTACCGTTATTTTATATATGATACCAGAGCGAGGTAGAATGGGTTGGAATGACTCCACATAAAATGCGCGCGGATCTATTATCATGACGTCATCAAAACAAGGCGTCATTGATTACGATTTAAATTTAAATTAACTTTCACTTTTCTTTGACCTTTGGGATATTACAGAGTTCGGTGATTTTTCGATGGTGCACATTTTTACAGTTCTACCAAAAGCTTGATGAAGAACGAGGTATTTTTCGCGTAGGTCATGAATTTGACTTTCGTTTTTTTATCTATTCTTTTGTCAAAGTCGATTTCATTCCATTTCTGAAAACAGCGAAATTTACAGTATACCGTGATGTTTCCCACTTTGGGAATACAAGGGAAATTTAACAACCTGAATGACGAAGTGTTGTATGTTAATCAACGGGAAACCATCAAATCTTACGACTATATCGAATTAGTCGGCATTTGTCTTAAAGAATAAGTCGAATTTCCTGAAAAATGAGTCGATTTTCCTGAAGAATGAGTCGAATGTCCTGAAGAATGAGTCGATTTTCCTGAAGATTGAGTCGAATGTCCTGAAGATTGAGTCGAATATCCTGAAGATTGAGTCGAATGTCCTGAAGATTGAGTCGAATGTCCTGAAGATTGAGTCGATTTTCCTGAAGAATGACTCGAATGTTCTGAAGAATGAGTCGAATGTCCTGAAGATTGAGTCGAATTTCCTGAAAAATAAGTCGAATTTCCTGAAGAATGAGTTGAGTGTCCTAAAGAATGAGTCGAATGTCGTGAAGAATAAGTCGAATGTCCTGCAGAATGAGTCGAATGTCCTGAAGATTGAGTCAAATGTCCTGAAGAATGAGTCGAATGTCCTGAAGAAAGAGTCGAGTGTCCTGCAGAATGAGTCGAATGTCCTGCAGAATGAGTCGAATGTCCTGAAGAATGAGTCGAATGTCCTAAAGAAAGAGTCGAATGTCCTGCAGAATGAGTCGAATGTCATGCAGAATGAGTCGAATGTCTTGAAAAATGAGTCGAATTTCCTAAAGAATGAGTCGATTTTCCTGAAGAATGTGTCGAATGTGCTAAAGAATGAGTCGAATGTCCTGAAGATTGAGTCGAATGTCCTGAAGAATGAGTGAATATCCTGAAGATCGAATGTCCTGCAGAATGAGTCGAATGTCCTGAATGAGTCGAATGTCCTGAAGAATGAGTCGAATGTCCTAAAGAAAGAGTCGAATGTCTTGAAAAATGAGTCGAATTTCCTAAAGAATGAGTCGATTTTCCTGAAGAATGTGTCGAATTTCCTAAAGAATGAGTCGATTTTCCTAAAGAATGAGTCGAATGTCCTGAAGATTGAGTCGAATGTCCTGCAGAATGAGTCGAATGTCCTGAAGAATGAGTCGAATGTCCTAAAGAAAGAGTCGAGTGTCCTGCAGAATGAGTCGAATGTCTTGAAAAATGAGTCGAATTTCCTAAAGAATGAGTCGATTTTCCTAAAGAATGAGTCGAATGTGCTAAAGAATGAGTCGATTTTCCTAAAGAATGAGTCGAATGTGCTATAGAATGAGTCGAATGTCCTGAAGAATGAGTCGAATGTCCTGAAGATTGAGTCGAATATCCTGAAGATTGAGTCGAATGTCCTGCAGAATGAGTCGAATGTCCTGAATGAGTCGAATGTCCTGAAGAATGAGTCGAATGTCCTAAAGAAAGAGTCGAATGTCTTGAAAAATGAGTCGAATTTCCTAAAGAATGAGTCGATTTTCCTGAAGAATGTGTCGAATGTGCTAAAGAATGAGTCGAATGTCCTGAAGATTGAGTCGAATGTCCTGAAGATTGAGTCGAATGTCCTGAAGAATGAGTCGAATGTCCTAAAGAAAGAGTCGAGTGTCCTGCAGAATGAGTCGAATGTCTTGAAAAATGAGTCGAATTTCCTAAAGAATGAGTCGATTTTCCTAAAGAATGAGTCGAATGTCCTGAAGATTGAGTCGAATGTCCTGCAGAATGAGTCGAATGTCCTGAAGAATGAGTCGAATGTCCTAAAGAAAGAGTCGAGTGTCCTGCAGACTTAGTCGAATGTCTTGAAAAATGAGTCGAATGTCCTAAAGAATGAGTCGATTTTCCTAAAGAATGAGTCGAATGTGCTAAAGAATGAGTCGAATGTCCTGAAGAATGAGTCGAATGTCCTGAAGATTGAGTCGAATAAAGATGAAAAAATTAACTTCAATACTAAAAACAGAACCAAAAAAAGGCAAGAAAACACAATAACTAGAGGAGTAAACAAAATTTGAACTATCAAGAAAAAGTGTTCTTGAGAAATAAGTTTTAGAATAACGCATTTGATTCGGATGTTTAATTTCGAATCGAATTCAATATGACCTTCTATCACAATTTCCAGGAGCTTTACTCTCGGAATCTTTTCTGAAGTCACAAATTACCGGAAATGTCCGAAGGCCTGAATGAATCATGGGAATCGGCCGATTGCAGAGCGCGGCTTTGTGATATCATTATGTGTATGCTATCAAATCTAATATATCATGTATCCTTCAGAAGCCATTAGGCATATACGCCTTCAACAAGAGGCTTCTAGACCGATACAAACAAGCATGTAACACTTGTTAATGTTTTAACGGGATTGTGGTCACATCGAATTAGGAATATCCAGTTTTTTTCTCGCCATTTAGATGTTGTGGCTAGCGTTAAAATGTAGTTTTAGCCGCCTTAGTCCCTAAACGTTCTCAATAAAAACATGTTTGTTCACGCAATCTAGATTCGATATCAATTGTCACGAAGCATGACTTGTTTATTGGTTATTAGATTCTTGTTGACAACTTGTCAAATAGATGGTTATATCTTGGTTGTATTGCCAATCTTCTTTTTAAACTGTAAACTGAATATCCTTAAAATACTGTTACCTTTGCTGTCTGTTTCCCCCTCTCCTATCCAATGTATATAGCGTTAGTACATATTACAACTAATTAATTAAATCAGAGACCAAACACAGATGCCGATAGTTTTGGCGAAGCGTTGATGTTAGACGATGAATCAGAGTGCTGTTCGCTCCCAAACCAGTGAACTTCGGATCGATTGCGTGTAGTAGCACGTATTAGTGATACTAATTGCCGGCCATCTCTCCTGATGGACCTAGACCCATCGACAACACCTCACCAACATTATCGATCCTTACGAGCAACACTCACGTACGAAGAGTGTCGTTTATGTGTTTATCATTTGTTTATATGACGACAATCTGACACACGAGACAAACAGATTGCGACAAGACCAACATATTTTATGACGAAATGCACCTGACATTTGACAAAATGGCGCTTTATGACTACAAGCGATAGGGATGAAACGCGTCAGTAAGAGTTTAAGCGATTTTACAGGGCATTAAGTGATATCAAGGAATGGGCCCTGCGAGTTTAAAAAAATATATTTACATAGACAACAAAGAAAATAACAACATTTCAACAGTCTTAATTCAAATTCAATAAAATTGTGGTAAAATATGAACAAAAGAAATAATTTGAAGAAGACTTCTGAAAAAAAAGTCAGTGTTAACTCCATACAAAAGTCAAACTGATATCGACACGTTAATAAAACTAGCCCAAAGACCAATAAAACGGAGACAAAAAGGAATAAAGAAGGAGTGACATGGAGACAATTAAAAGATTTCATAGGAAACGATATGTCAGGTATTCCAGAAGGCATTCTTCAGACAAAACTCACAGAAATCATGGTCGGTCGTGATAATTTGACCGTATTGAAGTATGAAATTTAAAAGCAACAATTTTTATTCCAATTACACTGCTTTACGCCATTTTCATTTGTTCAGCTATATGTCCGTTAAGCTTTACTAAAATTGATTAAACTTTCCGTCGACGTTGGAAAAAATTTGAAACACACAGAAGGCAATGACATAAAATGTTCAAAAATAGCTTCGCTAGCTTTCTGTTCAAACGTTAGGAGCATTATGCACAACGTTAGAGCTAAAAGTGCGTGTGCCGTCGTTATACTGGCCTCGGATATAAACACGAGAAAGCCGAGAAATAAAATGGCCTTCTGGTCAACCAGGAATCAAGCCACAGCTCTGTAAGACTGGTCAATTTTAACACGGTCAGATGACTAGATTTCATAATTCACTTGGTCTACAGAAATCCTAATTACCAGATGATTTACGCTTTACGATGAGTATCTTAACTCTTGGATTTCTATTGATATGTGACGTCATATCGGAACCAATGGATACGTTAAGCCAAATCGACTTAATTACAATATCAGTGCACAAACAATTTCGAAATTCGATTTCACGCCACAGGAAAGTTTTGAGAAAAAGCCACGATTTTTTTTTGTTTCTCTTCAGTTTTGAGACTCCTGTTTTTCTCTCTGAACTTTTCTAACGCGTGTTAAACACGTCGTTTTTCGGGTCTACAATTTCATATCCAATATGGAGTCAGTATTTCTTAATTATCATTAATTGACACGTGAAAGTATTTGATTGGGGCGCACGGAGGTGAAAATGCTCGTCTTACGTTCATTATGTCACATGATTATTTCTCTATCCTCTTTCCAGGTTTTAATCAGTATTTTTCCAAAGACAATAGTTAATATGGAAATTTTAAGTGCAAGATTATCATGTATTCGTAATAAATATTCATTTATGCAGATTCATTTTCTCACTAGGCAGCACTGAAGCGAAGAGAATGATTTTAATCTATTATTAAGGGCAATGCTTTTCACGAATCATTATATGTTAGTGAGAATGGAAATCTCTGGTCAAACTCTATAGCATCAACATGTGGCTGTATTCCATTATTTCTGGAAAATTGTATATCTTCAAAGACAAGTTCAAACGGACTTGATTCTATAAGGAATGTGCTGTTTACCTTCAAAGACTTAAGAGGATGTAGCGCGGAAACAATGAATATTCATTAGGGATGTTTTCAGGCGCAATGTCCTATCCTTAAGATACCTTTTTGTTTCTGAATCACTCTTCTCTTCAATAGTTTGGTATTAGTGTGAAGTCCAACAGGAACGGCGATGGTTTGAGTCTGTATTACGGTATTGATTGGATCCGCCTTCACTTTGATGAATACGACTTGGTACTAATCAGCCGATACAGATTACAGGCTATATACAGACGGTATACAATTAGTAAGACACTCAAAGATTGTCTCCCGATTGATTATAAAGTCCTTTTCTATATTCCTGGAATTCTATCCGTGGAGGCGTAAAATCGTGAAATCCCTTGTTAAATCCCAGGAAACATCAACTCATTAATCTAGGAAAACCTACAGACCCTTTAGGCATAAAAATTATAGCCATTCTCAAGTTAAAAGGAAACTTACGTTTAAGTTTTTAAAAAAATTGGGGAAAAAAGAAAAAAAACAACCAACAAAGAAAATGTTTTGATGTTTGAATGATATTCTTCCTGAAGCAAGTATATTTCATTGATTTCCAGACCAATTCAATAAGTTTCAACAATACATGTCCTGATACAATACTTACAGATCACCACGGGGAGATAAATTAGTAACGTATTGTTCCTCCATCAATCATTACAGTAATACAGAATTTCATAATGGTAAGTAAATAGATAGATAAACAGATAGATAAAGAAATAAATAAAGAAATTGTTAGCGACGAAAACGTTACGACAAAATCCGACAGCTCGTGTTAAAGCGACATTTTCTTCACTTTAATGCTGTAGAATGTCAGATGTTGTGTTCAACAAGTTATAAACAATATATAAAGCACTATTGCTAGAACAGATCGTTTTTATCATTTGTGAATCAAAAGTCCCAACCATTCGGTACGTTGTTGTATTGTATGAGATTTAGTCCCTCCAAGTTATCAAGTCATACTTAAAAACCTGCTCCTACTTATCGACCGGTTCCAACTGACCTCTTATGATGTAGATGGACATAACTCCAGTTTAAAAACTGTAACAAAATATGGCTATTTCACACGTGTTATTGGTCAAACCTCTTCTGCTACCTTCGTATGTCACTTATAAAACACATTATTAATTTTCAAATGAGACCAAAAGTTAAAATTAAACGTTCCAGCTATCATAGTTTGTCACAGGTATCCGGATTATCCGGTCCGGTAGATTACAATGTATTTCATATATGTTGTTCCGAAAATTACAAGATGCGGTCAACACACCGGTGCCGTCCTCTGTAACACTGACCGGAAACCAAGGCTTGGACATCTAGTGGACAGCAACGGAAAGCTTGGACAGGCTATGGCTCAGCTGGAGGTCAACTGACGGAAAGTAGAGTGGGCGGTTTCCGTTCTTGTTACCGGACTTTCCGTTGAAGGGTCACAGATATTACGGTAAAACGAGGAAATAAAAAGTCCTTTTTTCCTTGTTTGTGTTTTCGCATCCTTGTATTTGGTAATAACGCTGAAATCGTGTCCAGTATCACGTGACTATAAAAGTCGTTATGTTGGTTTGAAACCATAGCTTTCACACTGAGTGAAAATAATGAAATGGGAATTTTGTATTTTCGTAGATTTCGAGGGTCCAAGAAATCAAACGGTTTCAATTTGACATGGAATTTTATTTCTAATGGATTTTGTGTGTATCGTTTTTGTTCCCGAAGGTTATACAACAGACATCGACTCTTTTCGATCACTTTTCCAGAGTCGCCTCCTAGGCTTCAAAATCTAGGCCCTAGGCATCAATGAACAGTCCATGAAGGACGAAACGGCTGCATGATGCAGTTTAATTCATTGTTTGGCGCTATTGTATCTGACTGTAAAGTTGTATCAAAAGGTGCCTTTGAGTTGCCCTTTGACCTCTGAAGCTCACGAAGGACCTTAATTTTTAACGTAATAGGCGACAGGGGAAAATCCAGAGCAATCTAAAGAAATACCATAATCTAGACGAAGAGATGAATATCTGATAATTTTAGGAGAGGACCAAGACTATTACGATTAGGGCAAACCTCGGGCATTAATAATCCACCAACACTGTCAATGGTACATTATTGTTTATGAACCGTCACAAAAATATTTTACAGAAATGTATCCGAACGATAAGTCTTTGTGTGTCAATTATCGCGGGATTTCTGCATACAAATCAATGAGAGAGGGCCAAGATATGGTAAATTAATAGACAATACAGTCGAACTTTGTTATTTCGAAGTCGATGGGACCGTTGGATAATACATCCGAGTATTCCATTTAAGTGAGATCGAATGTTGTGTGAAAAGTTTGGAGGGGACAGACGAATTAAAGGGATCTTCGAGTTCTACAAGGTCGAGATAACGAGATTCGAGTGTATATTGCGAAAATACCAAAATGACCGGTTGAATCGGGATGGTAAACGTCAATCTACCTTACCAACGACAACTCTATGCTTATCAAGGTATATCGAACACATGTAACTCTCTCCAAATACCCATATTGCTTTGTCTGCTTCGAGTTCAGTCATTGTACTTTAACAGTCTAAATATGAAGAGAAAAAATCTGGACAATTTTCTTCCGATTTCGTCTCGAAAACAAGCAGGACGTTGTCAAAAAATCCATCACAAACACTGCATGTATTTTTGACAGCTCATTTAAAATGACACTTATGATTTATTCTGTAGAATTTCAGATTTTAAGCTGTCTGATCAGTCCGAAACATTTTAAGTGATTGATATATTCCATGCTGCACGTGCTGTGAACTTCACTTCCAAGGTCACCCATAACAGGGCGTGCTCTACCTCTTGAAGTATGCATAAGGAAGAGTAAACCTATTTCAAGCTTATTCTAGATTTGCACTAGACTACCTTTTTACACACTGATAAATGTTAAGTTCTTTAATCTAACTTTACCATTATTGTTTGTCAATAAACCTAGTTTATTATTGAAAATAAGCGATTTTCCCTAGCTGTCCGGTATGATAGAATAAGCGATCTTTCCCTAGTTGTCCGGTTAGGTAGAATAAGCGATCTTTCCCTAGCTATCCGGTGGGGTAGAATAAGCGATCTTTCCCTAGTTGTCCGGTGGGGTAGAATAAGCGATCTGTCCCTAGCTGTCCGGTAGGATAGAATAAGTGATCTTTCCCTAGCTGCCCGGTGGGGTAGAATAAGCGATCTTTCCCTAACTGCCCGGTGGGGTAGAATAAGCGATTTCTCCCTAGCTGTCCGGAGGTGTAGAATAAGCGATCTTTTCCTAGCTGTCCGGTGGGGTAGAATAAGCGATCTCTCCCTAGCTGTCCGGAGGGGTAGAATAAGCGATCTTTTGTGCTAAATCGAGATATTTCTCTTTGCTCTTAAGTGAAATCATAGATCATCCCTGATCCAATTTGTGGTGTCTATACAGGGAGAGAGCTCGATAATTTCATTGCTACATCCTTTGTTCTTTATTTCCGATAAACCTAAGCACCCCCGGATTGTCTAATGATAGAGTCACTAGACCACAGGAAGTACCATCCTGTTATAGATTTGTGACAGTCACCCAACATTTGACCTATAAATGAACCCTTGTGGACTTTCCTTATAACATATACTGATACAGGGCGTTTTTTCTTTCTTACTTTTTTTTTCTTTTCTTTCTTTTGTATCAATGTATACTGGGTAATTTTTACCCCCGTAAAATTTCACCCTTTTCATCCATGAACAGTGAGACGAATCTGAGATTGGGACGAAATTTTATGACATCAACATAACCCTTTATAAAATCATATATATCAGGCGAATTCTTGCATAAGTGTAAAAAGGCGAAATTAACCAGAGTATTATGTATTATGTTGGGTGAAATATTTATCTCTTGAAATCAACACGCTACCACTGTATATGATAGGTAAGTGTTTGTTATGGAAATCCACGGTCCTAAATCATTATAAACAGACAGCGATGAAGTGTCCCGACACACCGATAGGAGAGTTTATATATACAGTAAATATCGCCGGAAAAACTCCGGAAAACCAATTATTATCATTACAGCTAATGCTCAAAGATATTAACTTCTCCATGGCCGAAAGATTTCTGTAATTGAAAGCAACAGGAAGTAATAATATAACCATACACTTTGATGGCAAAATAAATATGTTAAACCAATTAGAAATGGTAGCTGAAGTTAAAAATAATAAAGAGAAATTCATTTGATTGATTTTTTTTTACAAATGGGTCCAAACGTTTCTAAGTTTTATTGATATCGTTATGCTGTACAGTCTTCCCAATCGTTTGAAGTGATATTCCATTTCTATAAAAAAAATAACGAACTTGATTTTGAAAACAGATTATGTTTGTAGTTTGTTCTACAGTGAGGTGGATCTACCGCTGATAATGACTGTAGCAGACAAAGCCAAGCCTCGTCAGTAGGCGCGGTATCTGTACCAACGATATCAGTACACAACGCAGAGCCTTTTTATATGACGTGATCGTTTCGCCATAATTATGTACATTCGGTGCGTTTCCGGGATTTATTTATCTACCTCCGATTCTTTAATGTCCTCAACTTAAATAAGAAAAGAATTTGGCGATCACTTCACGTGGAACTTTCACCATTTCTAAATTGAATTCGAATTCCTTCTTTCCTCGTGCCTTCGCTTTTTCGTTCTCTGGTGCCTTCGTCTTTCGTTCTAAATTCCTTCGAGTATTCGCCTGTATTTTCCCATTCCGTCATGTCTTTCCGTCTGTTTTTCGTCATTTCCTCGTGTATTCGTCTTTCACTCATTGGCTTTTTTTCATCTCGTCGTACTTTCGTCTTTCCTTCCACATTTCCTCGTAACTTCACCTTTCTTTTCTCATCCGTCGTAACTTAGTCTTTTTTTCTCATCCCCTTGTATCTTCGTCTTTCATTCCTTATCCCATCGTGCCTTTGTCTTTCATTCCCTCGTAAATTTGTCTTTCTTTTTCCCATCTTCTCGCGCCTTCATTTTTCTTTTCGCATTCCCTCGTTCCTTCTGCTGTTTTTGCACACATCCTCGTCCCTTCTGCCGTTTTTACACACCTCCTCGTCCCTTCTGCTATTTTTACACACCTCCTCGTCCCTTCTGCTGTTTTTGCACACCTCCTCGTTCCTTCTGCTGTTTTTGCACACCTCCTCGTCCCTTCTGCTATTTTTGCACACCTCCTCGTCCCTTCGGCTGTTTTTGCACACCTCCTCGTGCCTGCTGTTTTTGCACACCTCCTCGTCCCTGCTGTTTTTGCACACCTCCTCGTGCCTTCTGCTGTTTTTGCACACCTCCTCGTCCCTTCTGCTGTTTTTGCACACCTCCTCGTCCCTGCTGTTTTTGCACACCTCCTCGTCCCTTCGGCTGTTTTTGCACACCTCCTCGTCCCTGCTGTTTTTGCACACCTCCTCGTCCCTTCGGCTGTTTTTGCACACCTCCTCGTCCCTTCGGCTGTTTTTGCACACCTCCTCGTCCCTGCTGTTTTTGCACACCTCCTCGTCCCTTCGGCTGTTTTTGCACACCTCCTCGTGCCTGCTGTTTTTGCACACCTCCTCGTCCCTGCTGTTTTTGCACGCCTCCTCGTGCCTTCTGCTGTTTTTGCACACCTCCTCGTCCCTTCGGCTGTTTTTGCACACCTCCTCGTCCCTGCTGTTTTTGCACACCTACTCGTCCCTTCGGCTGTTTTTGCACACCTACTCGTCCCTTCGGCTGTTTTTGCACACCTCCTCGTCCCTGCTGTTTTTGCACACCTCCTGGTATCTCCGTCTTTTTTCTCAGGTCTTCATTTCCTTCTTCCTGTCTTCCTCATGCCGTTACTCCTTCCTTCTGATCGTCTTAATCATTCCCTCCGTCATTTTTTTTATATCTATCTGCTGTTCTGTTCGTATGTGTCCTCGTTCCCTAACCTTAGTTTTGTCGTTCCCTGACCTTCTTGTGTTAACTTGTTACATCATCCCCATACTGTTCAATCTGTTTCCTTTCTTTCATTAACGTACTTTGATTTATTATGTTGCCACTGTGCCGTTGTATCACACTGAAGGAAGCGAAACAGCCAGAATTAATCGTTGTAGCTAATTTAAGCACTATTTTACCATTAACAATTACGTTAAATTGAGTTAAGTAACCTGATATCACTTGATGCCGTCTGCAATAAGACCTCGATACAAACATCGCTGTTAATTCGTCGTTCTTGTCCTCGTCATTTTTTGGATCAGTTTAGGTCTAAATTGTTGAGTATGAGGCGTATCAGAAAATACATATGGAGACATTCTTACCATTTTTTTTTGAAAATGAAACTATCTTTCCGCCTGTAAATGAAATTACATATCTTAATACTACATTTTCCTCAGCAAAACTCAATAACACAAAACATGAAATGAGTTTACCAATTAGATAACGGGGAACGATGTAACGGTATAATTACGAAATCTTCCTGGTAAAAAAACACCGTATTTGTCTGTTTTTCTTGTGAGGGTACTTGTACATACAGGAAATCAATTGCATGAAACGCCATAAAACTTTCTCAACCTCCTCTCTCTCTCTCTCTCTCTCTCTCTCTCTCTCTCTCTCTCTCTCTCTCTCTCTCTCTCTCTCTCTCTCTCTCTCTCTCTCTCTCTCTCTCTCTCTCTCTCTCTCTCTCTCTCTCTCTCTCTCTCTCTCTCTCTCTCTCTCTCTCTCTCTCTCTCTCTCTCTCTCTCTCTCTCTCTCTCTCTCTCTCTCTCTCTCTCTCTCACTCTCTCTCTCTCTCTCCCCCCTCCATCTTTGTCGTTGCAGTTACGTCGTGTGTTGGTCATAATTACCTGGGCACATGGACAAAATGATGAATCTGACAGCTTCTGGCAGCTTATCTTTTAGGAAGACAAAATAAGAATGTGGTGAAAATAAATGTTTATTTTCCATCATCATCTTTTTTATTTCGTATTTGTTGCTTCACTTCCCGCTTCATTCTCCCGATATCATTGCAACCATTACAGAGTACAATTTGAATTTCAGAAACAAATCTCACTTGTCAATTTCACTTATCGATTAGGACTTATCCCTAATTGTAAAATCTTCCCAAAGTTCCATGGCCACAGAATTTCTACAAGGTATAGTAGCTTGTTTATATTGTATATATTTAATACTTTTAGCGTATATCTATAAAACACTAAGACTCAACACTTTTCCTGCTCAATGGAGGATTTTTCATCTATGATTGTTACTCCACTATTAAAATTGGAAAATTCTGATGACACCTCGTTTTAATGGTATTGTGACGTCATGGAAAAGGAAGTTAAAAAGATCTCTATTATTTCAATTCTTCCCCCTATTTCTCAAACTTAGACCGGTGCGCGAGAACTGGCACTGATACAAACAAACCTGAGTTAACAGCTGATCTCGCAGTCTTAATGATGTAGGTAATTCACTTTCTGTATGTAATTAACCGTCTTTTATCTTACTTCATTATCTTGGTTGTAACAAATCAAATATTTCCCTAATGGACCGGAAGTCGTTATCATTGTTGATTTATTATGTAAATAAAGGTTTGGCCATTAAGGGAACAATACAAACTGCACTATAAAACTGGCCCATCTGGTGTGATGCTAAATTAATATTCTCTGCACTAATTTTAAATAGCTTTTCTGTACAGGTCTTTCCAATTAGACGTGAGTATTCTTATTAGCGTCACAAAGTAAATTCTCACAAGAAAACCATACCATAGAAACATGTGTTCTTTTCTAGTTATGTATTTTAAGATCTTTTCTTTTCATTAAATTACAGATCAGTAGATGTTTTGAAAACTGGAGCTATTATTGACAGAGATATAATCCACGGACAGAGGTTAGTGTCGACAGAAATATAATCTACCGACAGAGGTTAGTGTCGACAGAGATATAATTTACCGACAGAGGTTAGTGTCGACAGAGATATAATTTACCGACAGAGGTTAGTGTCGACAGAGATATAATTTACCGACAGAGGTTAGTGTCGACAGAGATATAATCCACGGACAGAGGTCAGTGTTCTACAGAATATGCTAATGTTCTAAAGAATAGGTTAATATTCTACAGAACAGGTTAATGTTCTACAGAATAGGTTAATGTTCCACAGAATAGGTTAATGTTCTACAGAATAGGTTAATGTTCTACAGAATAGGTTAATGTTCTACAGAATAGGTTGATGTTCTACAGAACAGGCTAATGTTCTACAGAATAGGTTAATGTTCTACAGAATAGGTTGATGTTCTACAGAACAGGTTAATGTTCTACAGAATAGGTTAATGTTCTACAGAATAGGTTGATGTTCTACAGAACAGGCTAATGTTCTACAGAATAGGTTGATGTTCTACAGAATAGGTTGATGTTCTACAGAATAGGTTGATGTTCTACAGAATAGGTTAATGTTCTACAGAACAGGTTAATGTTCTACAGAATAGGTTAATGTTCTACAGAATAGGTTAATGTTCCACAGAATAGGTTGATGTTCTACAGAATAGGTTGATGTTCTACAGAATAGGTTGATGTTCTACAGAATACGTTAATGTTCTATAGAACAGGAATGTTCTACAGGTTAATGTTCTACAGAATAGGTTAATGTTCTACAGAATAGGTTAATGTTCTACAGAACAGGTTAATGTTCTACAGAATAGGTTAATGTTCCACAGAATAGGTTGATGTTCTACAGAATAGGTTAATGTTCTACAGAATAGGTTAATGTTCCACAGAATAGGTTGATGTTCTACAGAATAGGTTGATGTTCTACAGAATAGGTTAATGTTCTACAGAATAGGTTAATGTTCCACAGAATAGGTTGATGTTCTACAGAACAGGCTAATGTTCTACAGAATAGGCTAATGTTCTAAAGAATAGGTTAATATTCTACAGAACAGGTTAATGTTCTACAGAATAGGTTAATGTTCCACAGAATAGGTTGATGTTCTACAGAATAGGTTGATGTTCTACAGAATAGGTTAATGTTCTACAGAATAGGTTAATGTTCTACAGAATAATGTTCTACAGAATAGGTTGATGTTCTACAGAATAGGTTAATGTTCCCACAGAATAGGTTGATGTTCTACAGAATAGGTTGATGTTCTACAGAATAGGTTAATGTTCTACAGAATAGGTTAATGTTCCACAGAATAGGTTGATGTTCTACAGAATAGGTTAATGTTAGGTTATTCTACAGAATAGGTTAATGTTCTACAGAATAGGTTAATGTTCCACAGAATAGGTTGATGTTCTACAGAATATGCTAATGTTCTACAGAATAGGTTAATGTTCTACAGAATAGGTTAATGTTCTACAGAATAGGTTAATGTTCTACAGAATAGGTTGATGTTCTACAGAATAGGTTGATGTTCTACAGAATAGGTTAATGTTCTACAGAACAGGTTAATGTTCTACAGAATACGTTAATGTTCTACAGAACAGGTTAATGTTCTACAGAATAGGTTGATGTTCTACATGTTCTACAGAACAGGTTAATGTTCTACAGAATACGTTAATGTTCTACATATGTTGTTCTACAGAATAGGTTAATGTTCTACAGAATTCTACAGAATAGGTTAATGTTCTACAAAATACGTTAATGTTCTACAGAATAGGTTAATGTTCTACAGAATAGGTTGATGTTCTACAGAATAGGTTGATGTTCTACAGAATAGGTTAATGTTCTACAGAATAGGTTAATGTTCTACAGAATAGGTTAATGTTCTACAGAATAGGTTGATGTTCTACAGAACAGGTTAATAGGTTAATGTTCTACAGAATAGGTTGATGTTCTACAGAACAGGTTAATGTTCTACAGAATACGTTAATGTTCTACAGAACAGGAATAGGTTAATGTTCTACAGAATAGGTTGATGTTCTACAGAATAGGTTAATGTTCTACAGAATAGGTTGATGTTCTACAGAATAGGTTAATGTTCTACAGAATAGGTTGATGTTCTACAGAACAGGTTAATGTTCTACAGAATACGTTAATGTTCTACAGAATAGGTTAATGTTCTACAGAATAGGTTGATGTTCTGCGAAAAAGTTAATGTTCTACAGAATACGTTAATGTTCTACAGAATATGCTAATGTTCTACAGAACAGGTTAATGTTCTACAGAATACGTTAATGTTCTACAGAATATGCTAATGTTCTACAGAATAGGTTAATGTTCTACAGAATAGGTTGATGTTCTACAGAATAGGTTAATGTTCTACAGAATACGTTAATGTTCTACAGAATAGGTTAATGTTCTACAGAATACGTTAATGTTCTACAGAATATGCTAATGTTCCACAGAATACGTTAATGTTCTACAGAATACGTTAATGTTCTACAGAATAGGTTAATGTTCTACAGAATACGTTAATGTTCTACAGAATAGGTTAATGTTCTACAGAATACGTTAATGTTCTACAGAATAGGTTAATGTTCTACAGAATACGTTAATGTTCTACAGAATACGTTAATGTTCTACAGAATAGGTTAATGTTCTACAGAATACGTTAATGTTCTACAGAATAGGTTAATGTTCTACAGAATACGTTAATGTTCTACAGAATACGTTAATGTTCTACAGAATATGCTAATATTCTACAGAACAGGTTAATGTTCTACAGAATACGTTAATGTTCTACAGAATATGCTAATGTTCTACAGAACAGGTTAATGTTCTACAGAATAGGTTAATGTTCTACAGAATAGGTTGATGTTCTACAGAATAGGTTAATGTTCTACAGAATACGTTAATGTTCTACATCGTATTCCGGTAGGGTTTGGGTTGTATATACAATATCATTAACCTTGTTTATAAGGTTAAAAACACGTTACAAGTTAATCTTGTTTTCTATGTAACAACAAATAAGAAATAAAAGTAAGAA